CTTACCCCATACCTGACCATCAACATTTTGGAAGTTCATTCACATTCAGAAGAACGAATCCTACAAAAGCTTCATATCATTTCTCTAATAATATGAGGCCACCATGAAAGACCAAAACTTTTTAAAGTCCCATAACATCAAAAAAAAAAAAAAAAAAATTTTTCTCAAGAGAAGCTTTAACATTTAACAAAGATGCCATAATAGAAGTAAAATCATTTGGATCATTGAACTTTTTGAAATGTAAATCATGATATTTCTTATTAAAGAACATGAGTTGAAACCTGCATCTGTTTAAAGTCATCCTTCTTAAACAGCATTTTCAGCTCACTGGTGGCAGCCGCTAAAGCTTTAGCTTTCATGGCTGATGACAACATTGAACCAGAAGCTTTCATGCCAGCTGGCAGTTCCTCTACCTTCAAGCTGTAAGACGAATCAACAGGAGTTAAATCCATATATGTGTTTTAAGGTCTATCAAATGAGCCTGCATTTGCCTTTTGTATCGTTGAGAGTCTTGAGACGATTACCTATTTGAAAGCATCTTCACGAAGTTTAGGCAGCATTTATTAAATAACAGACATTAGTTTATTGTGGCAGACTTCTAAAGAACTAACAAGATGTAGTTACTACTTTAGTGCAATCAACGGATTTGGAGTGCTACAGCGAAAGAAAAGGTTTTCCATTCCCCTAATTCAACCACTCTTTATTTGGAATGGGATACGATGAAGAAAGTGTTCCCACAAAGCCACTGACTGAGGAGCCAAAACTAAATAAANAACATATAATATTATTTCCTATTCAAGTCATTACATGAACTGAGAATGTAAATTAAAAATAGAAGATTCCCACAAAATTTAAAAGATGTCAAACTTTTGATGTTTTAAGGTGCTAGCAACAATCCTCATGCAAAAATATCCTAGAAAATGGGACATTAAATAATCAAAGCAAGGTAAAAAGTATCTCTCTTTCCACTCAACTTATTAATTCATTAGCTTCCTAAGTACTTTAAAGGTCGGACATGACTCTGATTTCCATATGGTTAGAATCTTCACTAAACGACGACTTAATTTTGAAACGATTCAGCACAGGCAGTTCACAGTCACATGGTCAAGAAGGTAAGATGTTACATTCACCTTCCAGCTTACATTCACCTTCCAGCCATACATGACCTCCAGCGCTATGAACCCAAAGTTGCACACAACCGTTTTAACTGATATTTCACCATGGGCTTTCCGGACACACCTACAAACTGGAAGCAAACAGAAAAACAACACGAGCAATAATTCCCAATAACAGAATTTATACGAAGGGCAGAAGGAAATTCCACAAAAATGGAGCCTTGGACTTACAGGATCCAACTATTTTTCAGCTCAGCTTATGAGTGTATTGCCCTTATAGCTCTCTCGCATAGTTCAATTTCTCTCCGATGAAATTCTAAACAAATCATTGAAATCCAAACCAATAACTATAATTTTTTTTTAATAGCACAAAAACAAAAATCATAATTATACTATATGGGGGTTCGTTCAAATAGGTGCATGAGTAATTACATAAGCTTCATTATCTCATTTTCTATGAAAACATAAGCTTCATTATCTCATTTTCTGGTTGTACTTCCTCAACATGTACTCGTCCAGTGAGATATCAACAGCATTTGAGCTGATTTTCGGCACTCGAATCGTTCTCCTCACCTTATTTTACATGTGAACAACAATTTTAGAATTGGGATGTACTGAGTTTGAAGAGGAATCAAGCAATTACTAAGCTCAATTTCAATTGTTGTGTGCCCTAAATTAAAAATTTTCTATAGGTCAAAAGATCGAGTCTTTTAACCTCTTGAGGGCAAGAAAAAACCATGAAAAAAGAGCGAGAATTTTAACTTTAACCACTTCTCGACAGCACGATGAAAACGAAAAAACAAAACGAAACTGTAGGTACTTTTCCTAGGGTTCTACCCTTCTTCTCCCTCTTTGAAACAAAAATCAAACATGAAGTACAAATAACTCAAACTTCCCAGAACAACCATTAAGATTTGGGAATTTTTAATCTGAAACTCGAATTGAAGACAAAGATGAGGTCTTGTGAGATGTATGGAGATGTCTCTAAATTTTACCGCGTAAAACTAAATTCCCCGACGGAAGCCAGCCCTGCTCGATCACCATGGGATCTTTCGTCTAGCACCACCGTCACATCCTCCACCATATCTTCAAGAATTTGCTCTCAAGTACTGAAATTGAGGAAACCCAAAATCATTAGAGATAATGGTAACAACTATGATGTATTATTATGAAAAGGTTGATCAATTAAGCAAAATTAGTTCCCTACCCAATGTTCGAGAGCTGCTCCGGAGGCTTCTGTGGGTATGGCATGCCGCGGCTTCTGGTCGTACTTCCTCAACGGGTACTCGTCCGGTGGGATACCAGCGGCATTTGAGCCGATTGTCGTCACTCGAATCGTTCTCCTCACCTAATCTTTCTGTGAATAGTAATTTCAGACTGGACTTTGTTCATTTTGAAGAGGAACAGAGCAACTACAAAACTCAATTTCAATTGTTACATGTCCTAACTTGAAATTTTCTAAGGTCAAAACACAAGCTATAGAA